CAGGGCTGGGCTCTGTCCTGCCCGGTTCCTCCGCACGAGCGAGGTCTGGAGGGGACGTGGTGCGGCGTTGGTGAACCTGTGGCTCGTCTCCAGCTGGTGCTCCACACCCATCACAGACCCGACTGCCAGCATTTTCTTTTTAAATACGCACATCCCCGTGTCCACAAGCAAATCAGCTGGCAGCATGTGAAGGGCCAGACTCAAAATGTTGTCCTGGTCTGATTTTTGCATTTGGCTGTAAGTGAAAACCGCTGTGGCCACACTAGCAAAGATCATCTGGGCTTTTCCAGACAGCTGACGTGAAAGTTGATTTTAAAATGGGTGAAGAAGGCTGATCTAATTCAATCCCTGCCTTCCTGGCAGAAGCAGCCACAGCTGGACTGCTCCTAGCAGATGCATCCTTAAACCTGCTCTTAAAAACACTCCTTGCCTGCTGTTTAAAAGGCTGAGGCAATTCTGCAAAATCCCAGAACTCTTACGGGATTTTTTTTTGTGTGTGTGTGTTTAATTTTGAAGTGCTCCGACCACTGTGAGCTCCCCACGGTTCGTCCTCCGCCTGCTCCTGCTTCCCCCGCGTTCCCCAACGCCCTGCCCTCCGCCGATGTCGGGCAGCTCTCTGTGCTCCCTGCCTGCAAAAACCACCCCTGTCCGTCCTTGCTGCCTGACCCTGCGTTGCCTCTCTCCTGCCTGCATCCCGGAGCTTTCCTGCCTGTGGTGGGATGGCTGTGCGGAGCAGCTGCCTTTTCAACGACCAGGAAACCGAAGGGTTGCAACAACCCCTCAGTGCCGAGCCAGTGGGCAGTGATACCCAATTTAACCGCACTCCCTCCCCTGGGGGTTCAGGGAGCAGGGTCACTGCACTGGTTCAGCAACGCAGAGGGGTTTTGCACCGCGAATCACGCACCATTCAGCTAGAAACAGAGATTTACCTCTGTATTTTAAATAATTACGGGCCATTCAGGCACAGTCTTGGCACGGCACTTGGGCGATGCACGCTGGTGGGCTGAGGGCCTGGCTGGAGCATCGCGCATGGCATAGGCTGTACGATGATGTTACGCGATAAAAATCTTTAATTAGCGCGGTTCCGGAGGAGAAATGCCGAGCAGCTCTCCCTCTGGTGGTGTGGGTATGCCATATCGCAAGGCGCTAATTAACTATCTGCTCGCTATGAATTAAATCTCCCCTCGCTGTGTCTGTATGGCACTGGGGTTTCTCCGGTGGCCCTGTCCCCTGCCCTGCTTCAAGAAGCCCCCTCGTGCGGGCACAGCTTCCACAGGCTTTGTCCCCCACAAAGCTGGAAATCCCTCGTTAGCCCCGAACCTCTGCAGCAATTAGCATCTCTTCATAAGGCAGAGCGGGGCATACGGGATATGGCTGCACGTTACAACCTGACCTGGAAAACCTCGCATTAGCTGGGATGAGCTAATTTCCTATTGATGGGGAAGAAAATCAGTGTTTAAGATCTAAAAACCATTTAGCTAAAAGTTGTTTTGCATATTTGTATTCCTAAGGCTCTTTTCTTTGCTAGGACTTCTCAGTGCTCATGCCTTTTCTGTACAAGCTGATTATTAAAAGGTGCTTGCCTGGGTTCAGGAATTGCTTTTGGGTAGGAAATAATCTGGTGGGTGTTCAGCCGCAGAGTGCAGGTGCTCCCGCTGCCCGGGATCCTCTGGGCTCTGCTGGGCCAGGGGAATCAGCTCGACCCCCAGCACATGAAGCTGCTTTGGGTTTGCATCCTCGTTTGATGTCTCTGCCTTTCTGGGAAGGGGGGAGAGAGAGCAGCATCGTCATCTGTGGTGGTGAGAGCAACGCGGCTGTTTAACTTGTCAATATTACCTTCAGTCCATCGTGCTTCTTAAAACTGACCCAGCCCCAGTCTGTTTTCGCACTCGGGATGGGAGTACTGCTTTCGTTTGGGGTCAGCTCCTGGCCTGAAGTCTGTCTCTGCAGCTATAAGGGCTAAAATTTTGCCTCGCAGCAGCGATAAAAGCCCTCGGCAAAGGCAGCTGTTAAATCCTCTCGGGAAAGTGGGTGTCCTGCCTGTTTCCAGCATGTTCCCTTGAAGGAGGTGCTTTTTCTTCCATGGAAAGTTTTTAACTTGATGAAGAGGTAGAGGGAGGTGAAAGCTGGAAAGGAGAGAAGGAGAAGAGCCGACCTGCCTGGGACGTGCACAACAGGGCAAAGCCGCCTCGTGCTTCTGGGCGTTGGGTACTGGTTTGCAGATCACAGCCCCGTCGCCGTGCTCAGCCCTCCCTGGAGATTTCTTGAGGGTCAGCACCACGGGTGGGGGGTGTTACTGCCTGCAGCAGGTTTTGGGGCTGGGGAGGTTTTGTATGGGGAAGCACAAGGAGCTGCCGGCATCGGCTGAGCATCCCGCTGCAGGTGACCCTGCAAGTGGGAACTGTGCGGGGCTGATCCCTCGGCCGGAGCAAAGCAAAGCAGCACCGTCTCCTCCTGCTTGAAGCTACAGCTT